CCAGGCTCGGTCCATCTCTCTCTCCAAACTCGAAGTCACAGTTGAAGTCTGTTGACCTTTGACCTCCAAACTTCTTCTTCCGGTTCAAGACGATGGGCTCCTCCTGCAGAACATACAGATCTGGACCTGTCGGTTCTGATCCACTGTTTCTGTTCATCATCAGAACCTTTGGATCCAGACTCTGGGATTAAATGTGTTTTTAATCCAACTGAACTCATCAGAACCGGGATTACGGAGCGTTTCCATGGCAACTGCTGCCTCTCTGCTGCTCCTCCTGAACACATCGGAACCTCGAGGTCCAATTTTAACTGCACCAGAACCGAACCCTTCACACCTTGGATCAGGTTCGCGGTTCTGTTGGACTTTGTTCCAGAACATTCAGCTGGCCGGATCCATTTCGTCAAAACCGGACAGATCCGAACCTCAGAGAGTCCAGTTGACCCAGCTGCGGTGCAACAATCAGTTTCATGTTTGGATCTGGACGGGCTTACCTCCGGTTCCGATTCAGTTGCCGGTTCGTCTGGACTCAGGTCCTCGTCCCGGATGGTTCCGATCAGACCCAGCTGCTCCAACATGGTCCTGAGCGTCTCTACCCGGTTCCGAAAGGTTCTACCCGGTTCCGAAAGGTTCTACCCGGTTCCGAAAGGTTCTACCCGGTTCCGAGAGGTTCTACCCGGTTCCGAGAGGTTCTACCTGGTTCCGAGGGGTTCTACCTGGTTCCGAGAGGCTCTACCCGGTTCCGAGAGATTGTACCCGGTTCCGAGAGGCTCTACCCGGTTCCGAGAGGTTCTGCTGCTCTCAACACGCTTACACGTGTTTACGGAAGCCGGAAGTTGAAGCGTGTTTCCGGTTGGTGTCGCGATGCTTTGGCGCCCCCTGCCGCCGCGGGGCGGAGATGGTAGAACAAGAACCGGTCGGAACCGGGCCGGTTCGAGCTGCTTGGGCCCAGTAAAGAGTCAAAGTCATTTTCGTTTTGGGCCAAATCAAAACATCAGTAAATGTTTCAAATTAAATGATGTTACTTTTCAGTCCGTCCAGGATTTTGTGTGTTTTTATTTTTTGCAATAAAAAAATCTGTTTGAATTATTTATTGCTGACAGTAAATGTGACTCTTTATTACTCGCTGTTTAGATCATGGATTATAATCTGACATCAATTAAGACTGAGGCAGCTGTTTAGTATAAGTAAAAGTTTTTGACAAATTTTGAGAAAAATCTACATAAACTCCAAATTGTTGGCACAAAGACGTGCAGCATTTTTTCATTTTGTCTGAATTTATACAGTAATCCAGACTGATTGATATAATTTGGCAATAAACAGATAAAAAATGCACTGATTTGATTGAAACCATAATATTTAAGTACACTTAGTGTTGAGTCTAGAATCGAGAGGGCCACATGAAAAGCTATGGAGGGCCGGATTTGGCCCACGGGCCTTCAGTTTGACACATGCGCTTTAGATGGTCCACAAAAATAACAAGATTAATTACATTTACAAGCCAACAGGCAACAGTTACAATTTCACATGCTGAGGTGAGTTAAACGGACTAAAACGTTTCAACAATTCTTTATATGTCAATAAAAAACAGATTCCTGTCTGTAAACTGTAAAAATAATTTATCATAATAATTTATTTATTCTGACTACCAATCTATCCATTTTTCCCTAAAGAAATCTGACAGTAAAAAGCTAAACAGACGAACATAAAGCTGCAGTTTGTTACTTTTATAAAAACTTTTTTTACACAGTCGTTAAAAATGTCTCCATGTTGACAGTATAATATGAATCATGTATCTGTGAAAAGATTAGTCTCCTTCCTCAGTTACTGTTACCATCTGAAAAAATGTCAAAAGCAACCAATCAGCGCCAGGAGGCGGGACCTAGTGCTGTCAATCAGCTCATGTATGCGCTGATTGATGAAGGTGTTTGTCCACCTTCATCTTATCATCATCTGTTATATTGCAACAGAAAAACAAACAAACTCATTTATGGTTATTTTGTTCATACAGAAATAATTTGTTTAACCAGAATCATAAAACATAAACTGCAGAATTTCACAGTTTAAATGTGATGCAGCGCCCAGTCAGTAGCAATAATCTCATTTCAATTTCATATTTTTATATGACTGTTTATATTTATAAAACATAATTAACATAAATTGAATATCATTCATCTGAGTGGATGAGAGAAACAAGAAGAGAATCAGGACAAGAAGCAAAATGTTGGTCTGATATTAGTTTAGAGAAAACTATATTTAGTGATGAAAATATTTATATTTAGCGATAATCTGCTGTTAAATGCAGCTTGTTTGATCGAGTCTAAAGCAGAACAGAGACCAGAACCGATCAGGAGAGACCAGAACTGATCAACAGAGACCAGAACCGATCAGGAGAGACCAGATCCGATCAGCAGAGACCAGAACCGATCAGGAGAGACCAGAAACCGATCAGGAGAGACCAGAACCGATCAGGAGAGACCAGAACCGATCAGGAGAGACCAGAACTGATCAACAGAGACCAGAACCGATCAGGAGAGACCAGATCCGATCAGCAGAGACCAGAACCGATCAGGAGAGACCAGAACCGATCAGGAGAGACCAGAACCGATCAGGAGAGACCAGAACCGATCAGCAGAGACCAGAACCGATCAGCAGAGACCAGAACCGATCAACAGAGACCAGAACCGATCAGGAGAGACCAGAACCGATCAGGAGAGACCAGAACCGATCAGGAGAGACCAGAACCGATCAACAGAGACCAGAACCGATCAGGAGAGACCAGAACCGATCAGGAGAGACCAGAACCGATCAGCAGAGACCAGAACCGATCAGCAGCCGTCTGGAAACAGTGTGGTAATCAGAGACATGTATCCGTTTGGATTGACATTCTGACCTCAGGTCACAAAACCACATTTTCGCGTCACAAACTTAATCCAACCCCAGATGATGCTGCTGCATTTTATTACAACATTTTTATTGTTTTATTACAATATGTTCACTTGAATCCATTTTACCCACAATCAGTGATGTAGCTGAAAAATGGATATCAGAGCAACTTGCACATTTTCAGTTCTGGTTCTGACCCAAACATTCAACAGCAGAATGTGAGTTAGGCAGCCGCTGAGGGCCCCCAAGCCACCAGGGGGCCCCCAAGAGCACCAAGCTAGCATGATAAAAAATAACATTAAATACAAACTAATTGCTTCTACACGTGGAAAAATGATTTCCATTATTTTCATAGTTGTTATATGAATATGGGTTAATCTCTGAAACAGATAAACTATTTACACATAAAATCTATTATCACACAAAATCGGTTCTGGTCTCTCCTGATCGGTTCTGGTCTCTCCTGATCGGTTCTGGTCTCTCCTGATCGGATCTGGTCTCTCCTGATGGGTTCTGGTCTCTGTTGACCGGTTCTGGTCTCTCCTGATCGGTTCTGGTCTCTCCTGATCGGATCTGGTCTCTCCTGATCAGTTCTGGTCTCTGCTGATCGGTTCTGGTCTCTGTTGATCGGTTCTGGTCTCTCCTGATCGGTTCTGGTCTCTGTTGATCGGTTCTGGTCTCTGTTGATCGGTTCTGGTCTCTGCTGATCGGTTCTGGTCTCTGTTGATCGGTTCTGGTCTCTGTTGATCGGTTCTGGTCTCTGTTGATCGGTTCTGGTCTCTCCTGATCGGTTCTGGTCTCTGATGATCGGTTCTGGTCTCTGCTGATCGGTTCTGGTCTCTGTTGATCGGTTCTGGTCTCTCCTGATCGGTTCTGGTCTCTCCTGATCGGTTCTGGTCTCTCCTGATCGGATCTGGTCTCTCCTGATGGGTTCTGGTCTCTGTTGACCGGTTCTGGTCTCTCCTGATCGGTTCTGGTCTCTGTTGATCGGTTCTGGTCTCTCCTGATCGGATCTGGTCTCTCCTGATCAGTTCTGGTCTCTGCTGATCGGTTCTGGTCTCTGTTGATCGGTTCTGGTCTCTCCTGATCGGTTCTGGTCTCTGTTGATCGGTTCTGGTCTCTGTTGATCGGTTCTGGTCTCTGCTGATCGGTTCTGGTCTCTGTTGATCGGTTCTGGTCTGTTGATCGGTTCTGGTCTCTGTTGATCGGTTCTGGTCTCTCCTGATCGGTTCTGGTCTCTGATGATCGGTTCTGGTCTCTGCTGATCGGTTCTGGTCTCTGTTGATCGGTTCTGGTCTCTGTTGACCGGTTCTGGTCTCTCCTGATCGGTTCTGGTCTCTCCTGATCGGTTCTGGTCTCTGTTGATCAGTTCTGTCTCTCCTGATCGGTTCTGGTCTCTCCTGATGGGTTCTGGTCTCTGTTGATCAGTTCTGGTCTCTGTTGATCGGTTCTGGTCTCTCCTGATCGGTTCTGGTCTCTCCTGATCGGTTCTGGTCTCTGTTCTGCTTTAGACTCGATCAAACAAGCTGCATTTAACAGCAGATTATCGCTAAATATAAATATTTTCATCACTAAATATAGTTTTCTCTAAACTAATATCAGACCAACATTTTGCTTCTTGTCCTGATTCTCTTCTTGTTTCTCTCATCCACTCAGATGAATGATATTCAATTTATGTTAATTATGTTTTATAAATATAAACAGTCATATAAAAATATGAAATTGAAATGAGATTATTGCTACTGACTGGGCGCTGCATCACATTTAAACTGTGAAATTCTGCAGTTTATGTTTTATGATTCTGGTAAACTTGGTGTTTATTATTATTTTCAAATAGTTAAAATGGCACAGCTAAGTATCGTATTTGCAGCGTTTACACGAAGTTGATTAACAGCACAAAGACCCGCCTTCTGGCTCTAATTGGCTGTTTTCTGACAGAGTCCTGCAGATGACAGATTGTTTTGTAAAACACATTTTTTCATGAACGTTACATTGCGCAGCTTTGAGCTAGCCTGGTTTTCCAGTTGAAGGCTGAATGTTTGTAGATTTTCAGTGGGACGTGCAGCTGCTGCAAATCACCTGAACATTAACAAAACCTTTATTTTTCCTAAATGGAA